TGCCTTGGTAATTCAATTTAGCACCAAGGACTAATTTACTTCCTAATATTTTCAACCCCTTCTTTGCCTTGTTTTTTCTCCTTTGTCTTTCTTACCCTCACCTTTTGTGTCTCCCTACCCATCATTTGTGACCTTGACCTGTATTGTAATTATTCATGTCTTCTTGCATTATATAAAAACTGTGTATGACAAGTACGTGTGTGATCAGAATGTCCGAAATGTGTTGCGTCAATACATTACACGTTTCAGATAAACTACGTCTTCTTATTGTGTTGTCGAAACTGGAAACTTAATTTCGAGATAAAAATCATACTACTTACAATCTATCAGTAACCGCTCGCACACAGTAAAATGTTTCTTTTTTTCTCATAGTCCCCTCTTTTCGATTCCCCCCCTTTAAAAATGGTTCCCACTTTTTGATTGCCTTTTCCCAGAAATGTCCCCTTTTTGTCCACACAATTGTCCGACTGGGTATCGTTTGAAGTAATAACAAAGGAGAGTTCTAACTGTCTACAAGTATTTTTTTACATTCCTTATATAGTGGTGCTATTGCAGATCGTGGCGAATCTAACATACACTTTTTGGTTTAGGCTTATAATTAAGATGTGAGGTCAATATTTTTGTTTTGTTATGTTACGTTTATAGAAATGCGATATTCAACGAGACGTGAGATTATGTTTATATTTGTTAAGCTCATAGTAAGAAGAGGTTTCGCATTACGTCAGTTTGCACAGATGTTTTTCGAAGACTTAACATTTTACACGTCTGCTTTCCAATATTTTTTTCATGTAGAAATAAGATGATTATGCTGGATTTTTAATGCTTTCACTGTCTATACTTTCTATGTCGTATCCTCGAAATACTTTTCTGTCATATTGCATAAACATTGTAGCGGTAAGTAATTCCCCAGAATTATTAGCCACAGCATTCATCACTGAACATTGGATGCTGACCCTCACTGTTCAAGTCCACTTGTTTACCTGAAGGCTTCCGGTCAAGCATCGACGTCATTTGCTACGCTGTTGTGTCACGTTCGGTCGTTCCTTCATGCAACATCCCTACCTAGTTAAGCAATCATCCCGCATTCCGAATCGGTCCCGAAATATAATTCGTAATTCGGACGACCAACTCTGGTGTTGTGCTTGTATAAATCGTACTATCCGTTAACGTCAATACTTTTAGCCTCTGAAACATACTCACACCTATTTTCCACTACTGAATTTTGACTTTTTCACAGAGTAAATGTTTAAATCATGGTTTTAAATAAGTGTTGTGTAATAAGCATGATAGGCAATACACTTCGTAACTCAATCACCATCATGTTTTCAGCTCTTATTTTAATGTATGCTTACGCAGTCATGTTTTCAATTCCACTTTCAATTTAAAACACTCAGGAAAATCAAAAATGAAATCCATTTAAAAGATTTATTTATCTGTAAGCATTAAGTGACATCCAAAACTTATAATCATTATTCATTTCTGAAAGGGAACATATGTGAAAATGTTGCTGATTAATAAATATGATAGTGAAAAGTAGAGAAGGAAATAAGTAATTAACGGTAACGAACAAGAACTTTTGATATTTAAGCTGCTGGCTGCTGCTGGTTAACCTTTCTACATTGCATATCTGAAGTCATGTCAAATGAAAACAGTTTTAGGGTAATGCTAAAACTGATAATATCTGATTTGAATTCATTGGATAACTGCTAAACATGGTATTAATCTTGTGATACAACTTATGTAACATCAGTTTAATTGAATTTTAGATTTTCCCGTCGATTGATTGGACCAAAGTGCTCGGTCTCAGGTTGATATGTCGGCTTCTTGTGCAAATGCTTCTACGATGTCTGGGAATTTTATTAGAATTTAACTGGTGGATGGTGAGCAGCAGTGGAATCATTGATGCGCATTTCGTCCTATTTTGGACTCGTCGGTTGGTCGTACCTGCATTTCCCAGTGAGTGATGATGTTCCCACCTAGGCTCCCACCCAGTGCCTATAGTTTTAAACGTCAAAGCATAATCAACTGGACCAATTGGGCCGCGAGAGACACCTCTTGTGCGACGGGTCATGTTAATTTAACTGAATTTTAGATTTTCCCGTCGATTGATTGGACCGAAGTGCTCGGTTTCAGGTTGAAATGTCGGCTTCAATTATGTCAACATGAGCCGTTGCAGAAGAGTTGGCTTTCGTGGCCCGAGTGGTCTGGTGGATAACGCTTTGGCGTTTGAAACTATGGGCACTGGGTTCAAGCCTCGGTGGGAACATCGTCGCTCACTGGGAAATGCAGGTGCATCCAGTGACGAGTCCCGAATAGGACGAAATGCGCATCCTGGATTCCACTGCTAGTCACCATCCACCAATTAAGTTCTTATGTAGCATCACATTGAAAGCTTAACTATTTACTGATAAAATGTTTATATTTGTATTAAAGCTGAGACTTGGATTTCAGACAATGTATGGTGACAAACAGCTCTTATTTACCGATAAACAGAATTTGAAAAAAAACACACATGAGTTATGTAATTTGGACTGAACGTTCGAAGGATGAAGCGTTCACCATAATATTTGAAACTTCTGAGTAGTAGGTGTACACTGTTGATGAGTATACAATTAGAAAAAAACACCTTTCCTGTACTGTTGAGTTTCAAATAGTTTTGTGTGGTTGGTAAGAGTATTTTTTACGATAAATATTCGGATGTCTAATTTTTATCGACTGATATTCAGAGAAATTCCATATTAGTTTGTTTATTAGATATATCACACAGTGAAGTGACAGTATTATTTACTGGATGACACAGTTTCGAACAAAATTTATTGTTCATAATCATATCAATTGTAATCACACGACTTTGACACTTGAGTTTTATAGTTTTCTTTGTTCTCTCCTATTTGTCGTATGGGTAGTAGAATTTTCCAGATATCTGGGTACAGGTGATGAATCATTCCTATTACATGTATTTGCAGTTGATTCGATAAACAAAGCTTCTGTTATCAATCTCTCCCTCCACCCTAGGTTGCATTAGATTTTAAAACTGTCATCCTATCCCATCCTATTGTATGGTTGTGTGTAACTGCATGTAGGAGTGCTATAGCTGAACTATTCTCTAGATTTTTTATCTTATTCGGGTCAACCAATCTAGATTTTGCTAGGTTTTTATGTTCAGCTAGTCTGACTGCCCCTGTTCTACTAGTTTGACCTATGTATTTGACCTGACAATCATTACAGGGTATGAGATAAACTAAATTGTTTTGTTTTAAAGGCTCTACAGGATCCTTTAACCGACAAAGCTTGTTTCTAATTGAGTTTGTGGGTTTGAATGCCAGTTTTATTCCTGCCTTGTTAAGAATTCTGCGTAAGGTTTCCGAGGTTCCTTCCTTGTATGGAATTACTACTGATGATTTAGATTCCTTATTATTATTATTACCAATAATAAGGAATCTAAATCATCAGTAGTAATTCCATACAAGGAAGGAACCTCGGAAACCTTACGCAGAATTCTTAACAAGGCAGGAATAAAAGTGGCATTCAAACCCACAAACTCAATTAGAAACAAGCTTTGTCGGTTAAAGGATCCTGTAGAGCCTTTAAAACAAAACAATTTAGTTTATCTCATACCCTGTAATGATTGTCAGGTCAAATACATAGGTCAAACTAGTAGAACAGGGGCAGTCAGACTAGCTGAACATAAAAACCTAGCAAAATCTAGATTGGTTGACCGAATAAGATAAGAAATCTAGAGAATAGTTCAGCTATAGCACTACATGCAGTTACACACAACCATACAATAGGATGGATGGGATAGGATGACAGTTTTAAAATCTAATGTCACAGGGTATAGGGAGAGATTGATAACAGAAGCTTTGTTTATCGAATCAACTACAAATACATGTAATAGGAATGATTCAACACCTGTCCACCCAGATATCTGGAAAATTCTACTACCCATACGACAAATAGGAGAGAACAAAGAAAACTATAAAACTCAAGTGTCAAAGTCGTGTGATTACAATTGATATGATTATGAACAATAAATTTTGTTCGAAACGTCATCCAGTAAATAATACTGTCACTTCACTGTGTGATACATCTAATAAACAAACTAATATGGAATTACTTACTACCACAGTGCCCAAGTTTTACACATATATTGATATTCAGAGAACCTACCATCTTTATTCACTTTTCAGTAAGAGGAATTCAGATGATGCCGGAGTTAAATGAATTGGCTTGAATATGTCTTGTCTATAGAAAATTCAAAGAAAAGTAAAAAATTCAATTTTTGTTTGAAATATGAACATTTTATTAAATGTGGGCACATTTTTCTCAGTCTGATGTCACAGAATTGGGAAATTAGGAAATATCTCATTAAAATTCTGCTTTATTTAAGTAGTTTTAGTGTAGGAAATCAAAGTAATTTGTGGTATATGGATGAAACTTTGAATAAGTAATCCTCCTTTCTAAATTTGTCTATCCCCACTGCTGGAGATAAAAGAAGGTTATCCCGGATAGTTGAGATTATTTGAAGCGATCAGGACGTAGTGAATGCATTGCGTTGGGTTACTGTATTCTTATAAACTATCAACACTTCCTACCTAAATTTATCCTTGAGCAGATGTCAGGAATACGTTCTGCTGGATAATGTCAAGGGCAGCCTGACCTTCGAGTTGGGATAGGCCAAGCCAAGGAGTCAGGCATTTGTACGACCGTGGTATAGGCCTAGTAAGATAGGTGTCTACATTACAACCACGGAGTTAACTTGAAACCGCTTCACATGCACAATGAACAGCCACAGATGAAGGTAGTTTGTAAAATATTCTTTGGAATTATTTACATGATCAATACAAGGATAGTGAACTTGAAAACACTTCCATTATTTCATTTGTAGGTGACTAAATATCTTCTTAGGTCGACAAAAATGGGTGGGGGGGGGTCATAGTAAGTAAAACAGAATTCCATAATCAATATTTGGATTTCATCAATCAGAATCAATGAATAAATCAGTTAGGATAACTACTTACACAATAGCAGAATGGACAAATATCATTTCCTCGACTTTCCCCGACGAAATCTTCATCCAACTATTAGGTAAATAAAAAGAAAATGGTATTCTACATTAACATGAGTAAGGTGACGTCTCGAAGTGTGATATTCGGTTTTTCACTCATTTTAGGGAAACAATCTGTGTTTTAACTCATGGAAAATTTCCATTGTAACATATAGAAAATCAAAACAAATGATTCAGCGAAGAGTCTCCTTTCAACGAATTTATCATCAAGCTGTACAATCGTGTTTATATGGCTTTTAAGAAGTTATATCCGATGAAGGAATTGAAACATAGGTGTGAATGCATAAAATAATAATAATTATAATATGAAATGCAATTAAAACTAAAATGTTTGTGATTATAATCATAGTTAAATATCAAGTGACAAAACAATTAATGTCATATATATAGAATAATTCATAGGATGGATAGAACTTGAAAAGGGTGGGCAATTATAAGATTAGTAGACAAATCGAATAAAATTAAAATAAAAACGTTACGTAATATTGTGTGAAATTTAATAGCATAGAATTTAATGTTATAAAAAAAGGAAGTGATTTAGAATGAAAAGTGGAACAAGTGAAATTATACCAGGGACAATTAAAAGTGAGAGTAGCAATAGTAACAATTGACGTAATAAGGAAGAGTATACAAATTGAATAGACGAAAATGAAAAAAAAATGAAAAATTGGTAGAGCTAAAATATGATTGGGAATTACCATACTTTAGCATAGAGGGATTAAGACCAGGAAAGTTGGAGGGGTTGAACGAACTTTTTTGGTACACAGAGCTCTGGCTTTTCTGTTTCGATGGTCAAAGCTTCAGCAATACAGATGAGTCGGGTACGTAGGGATTTGGGTAAATTACCCTTTGCCTTGTAGATGACTTTAAGCGCGCTTCTTATTGCTATACTTCCACCTCTTCGTAACCAATCTATTTGTCTTGAGACGTTCAAATGAATTCGTTAATTTTGTTTATTTTGAACTGATAGAGTAACAAAATTTAATTATCATTTTTGATCTTTTAATGAATTTCCTTCACGAAAGTGTCTGAACCTACCAAATTGACTTTAGTAGGCAGCGTCCTTTCAACTACAGGCAGTCGACACGGATGAGGATGTCAAAGACAGGGTGGGAAAGGCAAGGCACACCTCCATCAATCTGAAATCAGTGTACACATCTTCTGCACTCAGAATAAAGGGCGAAATTCGGATTTTCAACACCAATGTTATGTCATTCCGTTCTTCTATATAGGCCTGAGATTTGTCACGTCACCTAAATCATTTTCAACAGGCCAGTACAGACTTTTATCAACAGTCTCTTTCTCTGGTTTCATACTAAAGATCAGATGGCCAGAGAGGTTACTCAACAAGGAACTGCGGGGACGAACTAACCAAGAATCTATTACTCAGTAAATATGCCACAGAGAGTGGAGATAAGTCGAACACACACTGACATCGTACTCTAGACTAGCTCTCAGGTGAAACCCTAGGGTGATATGGAGGAAATCCTGCGAGGAGATGAGAGATTATGGACAGTCGTACAACCATATACAAAGGTATGAAGAGAACAGGATGGAATTGAAATGTTCTGTTGAAGCCTTATGTTCCACCCGGAACTCAAGGGAATAATAATAGTAATGATAGTTTGTATGTGTATTAGTAAAAGTAACAAGTAAAACTGGTTGTCTGAAGGAGTCACAATACAAAGGGCGCAAATAGATTCTATGACAGATGAGTCAATTAGATATAGTATACCCAGTCATACAGTAATATAAAGTGGGTGATGTTTCGATCACTATTTATTGTTAGTAATCCCTGTCAGAGTATTCATATGACTTTACCGCCTCCCTTTTTCAGTGCAACTTTTTATCTTTTTCATCCTTAATTGGTGTTGCGTTATTCCTATTCGATTGGATGATTGAATACTCAGTGATTGGCCTCTCTCTCCCCTAACTATATTGTATTCTAATAGGTTGACTCTCTATCACTCTATTTTGTAATTACAAGTGAGGGAATGCATTGCAATGGCTCAGTCTTCTTTTATAGATGTGACTTAATACGGTGGATTCAGTTGAATTCCTATGCTCTACTAACCTAAGTGACCCCAGTGTTAGCAAACAATAAGTGCAATGCAATGATGCAACATCAACTTCAGATGTATGGGAGACCACATCATCAAACAGTAGGGGAAAAAGTGCATGAAGCAAGTTTGCAAGTTGGGTGAATACACTCATCTAATTATGAGTAATACATTGTGCTCAGAATTTCACCCAGTGATTGGCACTATATCCCCATATATGTTATATCAAATAAAAACTTGCCTAATTCGAAATTATGTGTCACCACAACACCCTAAATTCTCCTGTTACATTAAGGTGTAAAAACCAACTTAGACACTTTTAACTATAAAAAGAATACCATGTAGTTTGAAGAAAATGAGTGTATGTATGTAAACATCTTAATTGTGCCCATTCGTGACGATCATTTCAGTTCAAGAATGTTGCTAACTAGGGGAAGATCAAGCTGTGACAGAGCTGGAAGTTGCATGAATAGGAAGGAGCAAGTGACATACTCCACCTTGTCTGTTCACTACCCATTTCTGACGCTTGTTAGCTATACGACTTCAATTTTCTCCATTTGTTTTCTATGCCTAAGCAATAGTATTCTCCTTTATTTTTCCTATTCCTATGTAAAGTCATATAACTGGGTTGGAGGATATCTTTATGAAGATGTGAAGATAATATATTGAATGAAAGCGGTAAAATTTATGATCTTACCTCAGAAAGTCGATCCTCTTCCTGAAAGCAATATCACAAATTCTGTGTATTTATTCATGAAGTGAAAACTGTAACAAAATCTATAAAATTCTCAACAATATTGATACAAGTAATTTCAACATTTTGTATAGGGAAACTGGTCTTAACTTAGATATGGGGATGTGGAATGACCAGATTGTGATGTAGCGACTGAAATCTACGATATGTTGTGGTCTGAACAGCCGTTGTATTCTACTGTATAGCTAACGAAACATTTTCTTGAGTTACGCACAGTCTCAAAGTACCCCGACGACAGCAAAATGACAGTTATTTGAGATAAAATCTATGGTACTATGTATAACAATAGTAAAGTAACCAAAATTCAAAATTACCACAACAATACCGCTGTGTAGCTATGGAGGTCCAGCGGTTTCTCAGGTACAAAACAAGTACTGTACAAAAAAAACTATTTAACCACCAAAATCAACTGTAAGAAGTACCTGAGAATCAAGAAGGATATTCCCAACAAGGTGGCCACAAAACTCTGTCAGCAAGAATCATTCCCCAAACACTTCCGGCACACAGTCCAAAGTCAGGATAACCTTCACTTCACTCAAACAAAATCGCAGTCGCAAATCAACATAGTATCAATATCACCACACAACCACATGCGTTGAATAATCGGTGATAGCAGATTTGACGCTTAAAAATTAACAAATTTCAACGATTGAATGTCATTTAAACTTTGAAATTAGATTGAGATTTACACATGGCTTTTTCCAGAATATCTCCAGCAGTGATCGAAAATCTTGTAAACTGCCTCAGAAAATCTAAAACTCCCTTATTTGCATCGGAATAGCCAGAATTCGGGTGAATTGAATTGATTCACTCTCTGATCTGTGTCAACCCATGTAGACCTTCTTTAACGGTTGGTCTTCAGAACACTTGGATCTCTCCCTACAAATACCATTGGTTGATGTAAGTGGTTCCCAACTACTGATATCGATCAATCAGTAGTATATGTTGGGAGGAAAGAATATCTATTCAAGAATAAGACTATTTCCAGTGGCAAAGTAATATCAGCTTTCGTTTGACCAATCATCAAACAAGCAGAAATTTAGCGTCATCTGACTGAATTTTATTCCACTTATTTCAGTAGTATAGATGGATAGAAACGTCAGAGTTAAATTTTAGTGTGTAGTATCCCGGGGAAGTCGATTACAACGATTATTACTCTCTGATCTTTGTGTTATTATGTGTATTATAACTGTTATTAGTTTATGAGTGATAACGACAAACATACAAAAGTTGTTTTTGCTCAAAGATAAACACTTTCACAAACAGACATTAGCTTCAGAGTGATGGGAAGTTATAGAGTAATAGATAGACGATTCATAGAAATTCCAGACGCGTCAATGTGCGACATTGTTTCATCTCTGTGGCTTGATTTAAAACACCTTAAATACGAAATATGAGAGGAAATGTTATCGACGTAGTCTGTCACTTGATGACAATCATTCATGATAACCAATATGCCTTAGGCTAAAAGGCTTCAAATCAAAAAATACTTACGCATACGCAAAATGAACAACCTCCCCGGGGAATTACACGGATAAAGTACTTATTATCCCACTGAAATGAAGAAAAAATAACAACAGCAAACAAAAGTGAGTAATCGGCCATTAAAACCAAGAAGTAAATAAACTCACAATAGATTGGCTATACAGTTAAAAGTGATAATGATCAGATAGACTGTAGTGCTGTACAAGAATGAGTTAACTAGAATGAGGTGTATGTTCAGGAAAGTTGAATTATTGCTAACTTTATGAAAGCTCAAAGTGCTTATATATCCTACTGTATGCTGATTAGATAGATAAGCCATGGATCATACCATCACTTGTCATAAATTCGAATTACAACGATCCAAACACACCTCACGTGACCGAGGGTTCAGTGCCTGGTCGACGCACTGCTACAACCTGCGTGGCCGGTGATAAGCCCGGCAAACATTTTGGGGAATGGTTGAGAGTGAGGCTAGCGACCATACTCGTAAAATATAAACATCACGGCTGCTGAAAATTCAAAGCTCAAGCCTGAAGTTCTATGTTTCACTTGGAACGCGAAGGAATAAAATTTTAAAAAAATAAATGAGCAATGATTCAATTCAGTCATGGGGAACTTGATTTCTGTTGAAAGTTTCAAATTCATGTTAAGCTGGACTTGAATTTGACAGATGAAATGAAAATTACTGGTAGGGTGGGAGAGCATATCCCGAAACGGTTAGAAAAACAAATGAATTGTGGGAAATCAATAGATGCAGGTGTCAGACTACCAACTTCGTCTATAGCTCAACATCTAATCGAGATGAACCATAAGAGTGATGTTAATTCAGCCTTTAAGGTCATCTATAAAAACGATCAATGGCGCTTATTGAAATACGCTGAAGCTATAGCTATTCATAAACTTAGGCCCCCTCCCCTGTGTATTCGAAAACAGTTTATTATTACTCTTAACCTACCTTGGTAATCCTTATTTGATTGGATTACCAAACGTGTTGTGTTAATCGTTCTTCAATCCTTTTTTTCTCACTTTGTTTAATTTAATTGCCCTTAATTTTTTCAAATATATCGACTTGACAAGTAAATGTGTGATCAGACTGTTGGAAATGTGTAGCGCAAATACATCAGATCACATTTTTCAGATAATCCCCGTCTTCTAATAATGCTATCCAAATTTATAAAAGGGACTAATTGTTTTAAAGTATAAATGTAGCCACACTTTAGTAAAGGGGAATTCATCTGGTTGAATAAGTTGTTAGGTTGATAGATGTATGTGCAATACAAAGTGGGAAATTAATCATATACTGCCATTTAATTAATTATACTTACATGTTTGAATCGAACGCCTGTTAAAGTAAAACCTGAAATGATAAATTTAAACAAAATCAATAGATCACGATGAAGTAAAGAGCAAAATATGAATTTTAAAAAAACCCAGAAAATACAACTCTTTTATATTCAATAAAAATGGTTAGTAATTTAAGATAATTGAGTGAAATTGCATATTACTACTAATAAAACGGTTAAGGGAGTATCAGTTCTTGGATGTCTATTTAAAATTAGGTTATCATAATCGTCATCTTCATCCGTGCGTCGGTGGCACAGAGGTAAAATGCTCACCAACTACGTCTCATGTGCTTCGGGGTTCTATCCTCGGCCAACGCCCTGCTTTATTTGCCTAAGCCATTAATAAGACTGGTAAAGAGGGAAGGTTGGGCATGAGGCTAGCAACCTTATCCCGTAAAAATAAATATCACTGCTACCAAAACTTCAAGCCTGTAGCTTGAAGCCGTATGTTCCACTGGGAACGTAAAAGAATAAAATAAGGAATAATAAATAATAATAATCGTCATTGAATAGTCTATGTTGTTTCACTAGACAAACAACAAACGTCCTTTATACTGAGCTCACTTCGTGTTAGTGAGGTAATGGTTCCTGATTTGCTTAGCTCATCCGGTCACTCACTTGTCGTAGCTTTCGTAGACACTGAGGGAGTGGTGTAAAAGGTTGCTTATATTTGATTTATAGTGTGCAGTGTTTTAAGATTGTGGCGTTGCTGTGATCGGAGTCAGTTTTCTGTGCGTCGGTGGCACAACGGTTAGGAATCTCGCCGACCATGCACATGGTCCGGGGTTCTATCCTCTGCCGACGCACACCTGATATCAGTGGTCAGCCTGCAAAATTCGGGCTACTGATATCACATGCTGGAAATTCCATACTTGTACCTAAAATACTGTGCGGTTTCAAGCTATAATCAAAATTAATTAATTAGTTAAATTATTCGTGTTCAATTGTGCAACTAAATTTGTCATGAAATTAGTATTGGAGATATCACTGAGAGGGGGGGGGTTGAAAAGTCCACAGTTAAATAAACACTACAGGTCTTCTAAGAACATGTAACAATCTCCGGAATACTTAATATGGCTAATTACGCAATCAATTTTAAACATTATTGAAGAAAATCTTCACTCTGAACGTCAAACGAATTAAAGTTTTACTTTGTGAATTCTCAGGTAAACTGATAACTACTCAAAGATCACTGCGTGATCATTTCATTTCGAAGGAAAACGTTGTGACAGATGCAAAGTCACATGAATAAATTTACTATTATTACTATTATTATTATTACCGCATATGTATTTACCACTATAATAGAGGAAGATGAAATACTAGTCAGCTTTGATGTAAACAGTCTCTATACGAAAATACCCATTCAAATGACCATGAATGCACTGAAAGAGAAACTAAAAGAAGATAATGGCCTGAAAGACAGAACACAGTTATCCGTAGAAGAGATAATAAAAGGGGTGGAATTCTGTCTGACAACAACATACTTCACATTCGAAGGGAAAATATACCAACAAAATGAAGGAGTAGCCATGGGATCGCCACTAATAGCTGACATATTCATGGATTATTGGGAAGAGAATGCCCTTAAACCATTCAGGTCATCACTAAAATGTTGGTGGAGATATGTAGACGACACACTGTGCGTCGGTGGCACAGTGGTTAGGACTCTCGCCGACCATGCACATGGTCCGGGGTTCGATCCCCTGCCGGCGCACACCCGATATCTATGGTATGCCTGAATTTGGGCAACCGATATCCATGCTGAAAATTCCACACTTGTACTGAAAATACGGTGTGGAATCAAGATATAGTGAAAAAACGATATTGAGAAACTCTTCTCACACATAAACAGCCAAGTCGACTCAATAAAATTCACTATGGAAGTAGAGAATGAAATTGGGGAACTGCCTATGTTAGACTGCAAAATACAAAGAATAACAGATGGTAGCATTAAAACGACGCTATATAGAAAAACCACACACTCTGGAAGATTCCTTGATTATCACTCAGCTCATCCACTCACGGTGAAACGAGGATTAATACAAGGTCTTGCAGATAGAATACATAGACTTACAACAACGCCAGAGGACCAGTGTAAAGAAATAAACGTCCTATTCAAAATGCTACTCGAAAACAACTACCCAAAAGAATTTATAAAAGATAATATAAAAAAGAGAAGAAAGAGGGTAAAACCGGAGAATAACAAGATGGAAGAATGCAAAAAGACAGTCACAATACCATATAAAAATGGTACATCAGAGGCAATTCAAAGAAACCTCAAAAATATCGGCATTCACACAACTTTTAAACAAATCTAATCAAAAATAAAATAAATCAACTGAAAGATCCCATAAAAATGATGGATAAAAACAACTTGATTTACAAAATATCTTGTACTGACTGTCCGACTAAATATGTGGGGCAAACGTCCAGATCACTCAAAATAAGAGTGAATGAACATAAACGCCTAACCAAAGGTCAACCAACAGGAACACAAGCCTACAAAAATCTTGAAAAAAATTCATCGATAGCTGCACATGCATGGGACAAAAACCACAATATCGATTGGAACAATGTGTGTATTCTAAAAACTAATATGAACAAATGGAAAGAGAGACTACTAATAACAGAGTCGATATTCATTAAGGTCACACCGGATACATGTAACAAGGGTGACTCAGTACAACTATCAACAACTTGGAATATAATTCTGAATACAAAAACATGAATGAACTATATATATGAGTACAAATCATAAATGTGTGAATAAAACAATTCCAACAGTGGTGTGAACACGGGCAGTAATTTTGCTCGAAATATTACCAATAACAAAACTTATCATTGTGTGTAAACTATTGAAATATAATTATACTTTTTTGATGTATTTACCTTCTATCGTATAAAATGCAAGAATTACATTGAATAAAAACAACAGTTTTGTTTCCATCTTCAACTAAAAGTAGCGCTTGTATCAGACTACTGATATAAAGTTATGAGAGTAATATGTACTGAAAAAAAGATATAAAAAAATAAATTGAAGTATGTATACATAAGAATTATTCTATACACAGTGTGAAAAGCTTGATATGAATTTGAGAAGAAATTCCACACTTAGAAGACAAAAAGAATGAACAAAGAAGTACTTACTCTCTGATTAGATACTCATCTATGGCTCTACACTAATACCGCATATATATATCGCATTTTTAATGCAATACAGCCTGAGATTTACCAATCTAATAGCTATGATTTTATTAAGAATACTTGATAAATACTAACACGCCAGGGTGGAGGTGATAATTAACCAAGTGAATTACATAATGCATAACTATGTTGGAAAGATAAGAAATAATGAGTGCACAAAATGATAATGTAATAAGTAATTAAAGGTGAACCAGTAAGAATATTGATAATAATAATAATAACAGTAGCGATTTGCTTTATTCTAAATAGTACTAATGATACAGCGTAGAATTCTCAGCATTTTGGCACACTATTACATCTAATTTACTCAATAATAATAAAAAACATATTAAAGGGTATAGGTAACAAAGACTGAAAATAGAAAATTATTTTGGCATTAACAGTAGCAATAAGTTTCACAAATCAGGCATAAATTCCTCTCGGTATTACTTAGTGTGTCGGTGGCACAGCTGTAGAATACTCGCCAATCACGCCTCATGTGGTTCGGGGTTCGTTCCCCAGCCAACGAACTCCTCTACTTCGCTAAGCCCGTAATAAGATTGGTAGATAGGGAAGGTTAAGCATGAGGCTAGCAGCCTCATCCCGTAAAAAATCAATATCACTGCTACCGAAACTCCTAGACTCTAGCTTGAAGCCCTATGTTCCACTGAGAACGTAAAGGTATAAAAAGGTAACCATCAGGTCAAAAATGAACGAAAAGTATAAAATGATAATAATAATAAAGACCAATACATCGCAAGCCAACATGGGCGGGACAGTTTATCAACTTCCAGAGCTTCGTCCCACTGATCCGAAAGCCAGATGTGGTACGTATAATACTGAGTTCAAGCATTAGAAAAATCTGTTCGGAATACATGATAGAGAAAGAATTAAATTCATTACTTGAAACCCTACTAGAAAATGTGTATCGACCATGATTTATAGACAAAAACATGAAAGAAAAGCCTCCGTCGCCAAAAATCACAACTGTTCCTAAGAAAACTCTCTTCATGAACCTGGAATTCAAAGGTGATATCGAAGCAGAGATTCTTAGAAACCGCCTTTCTAAATGTCTGAAGAAGACATTTCCAACAACCATCTTACGTATCGCATTCTCCAGTAGACAGTTAATCCAGTCTAACGTTAAGGATAAGATTCCGCTTTTGCTCGTGTGGAGCAAAGTATATTGGCTGCATGCAAAGTCAAGTTCACAGACGTATTCTGGAACATTGTCCAGCTTGTTTAGCCAGCCACAGGAGAAAAATAATTAAAATACCATAAATAACTAAAATTACATGATAATAGAAGTAGTGTCAACTACGTGAATATTAAGCAATGCTCTGATGAAGAAGAGATTTAGCTGTTGAATTCTGTCAAACAGTAAACCACTTAAATGTCTACTGACATTAATGGTGATGGTCTCAAGAAATCACTAATAATAATAATAATAATTTGCTTTATTCCAGAAACAGTACTAGTGGTACAGTGTGGAATTTTCAGCACATATCTACAATATTTGCATCTAATTTTATCAAACATTTAAAAGGAGTATTAAATAAACAGGAAAAAATACAGGATAAACACAAAATAATTATAAATGCGAAAAAATACCAAGAAGTAGAAAGGAAAATAAACAACATAAAATAATATCTCAGTGTTGGGTAGTGGAAGCTATGATATGATTATGCATGGTGACAGTAAAGCTGTAGTCATACAAGAAGTTATGAAATGATATTTAGGAATGTTTATCACCAAGATGATTAGTTAATTTAGGTTGAAACAACACTGAACAATCATAAAATAACATTTCAGGGTTGTTGTTTTGCTTTTTATTGTAAGGTCTAATGCAGTGTTTGTAGTGGTAGTGTGAGTAATCCTGCATAATACAAAATTTTAAGATGGTGATAATGGCTTTCACAACCAAGATTGTCACTTAATGTTGCCGAACAAAAAACAACAACAACAACCACAAAAACTAATAATTATATGATGGGTAATGACAGGACAATTTTGTAATACTCATAGAGCTAATATATTCGGAACCAGTAGATACACAAAAGAAGGAATAAAGTACAAAAAATTAAGCCAATGTTAATAATTTAGGTAGCTAAGTATGTTTAAGAAGGAGTTCACTATAGAATACAAAATAAGAGAGAAATAAAAGAGTCTAAAATTATGATATTAACAACAAAGCAAGTCATAGGTTTCGCGCTTAACATTGTCTCTGTCACTTACAACACAGGCTAAATATGGTATCGTTGAGTTTCTGTACTAGGTTGTACGAGCATAAATTATTTTATACTGATTTCTGGTACTACTTGATGAGATACTAGGCAAGAGTTGGGAATAGAGGGGTTGTTGGGGGTCGGAGAGTATGGTTTTAGACCATTTTTTGCATGTATTCAGATGCCTATCAACTAATATAGTGACGAGCTGACTGAGTTTTACACCACTGGTCCTACTAACTACCTTCAACATCCTTCTCAGGATGGTGTAGCCCAGGAAAGACTAACGGGGAGCAGTAAAGTAGAATATGTAAGATACAAGAGTTGACAAATTGTGAAAGTAGAGGTTGGGTGATTCCAGATTGTCTAAGTTTCTTAATGTAGTAGGTTAGACAGAACACTTTCTTAGAAATCGTTAGGATATGAGATGTCCAAGTAAGGTCAGAAGACAGAACTAGACCGAGGTATTTTGCATTAGACTTAGTTTCAATTTTAGTCCCCTCAATGCTACAGGCTTCATGAGAACTTACTAGTGTTTGTAGGTCTCGTTTATGCCTAAGGGAGAAGTCAATAGTCTGGCATTTTGAGGGATTCAGCATGAGACCATTTAGTTTAGAACACTCAGACACTGAAGTAATAATTCCATGTAGTTCCATGTAACATTGGGTTAAATTTAAGTATTTGAATTGACTGATCATTAAAGTAAGGACGAGTGCACTTGTCTATTCTTAAATACGTTCAGTAAGGTGGGTCTGACAAATGTTGTTTATATATATCTGTTTGATTATTATTGCCAATGACAAAAGCCAGGCTATGGTTGTGTATGGTTTCATGTTGGTTGGTAACATCAGACAGTGTAACACTGTCGTGGCACTTAACTTTCTGATTATGTTCTACATGTGAACAATTAATTTCAACCAATAGAATTTGTACTAAACAGTCACATAAAAATTTCCATCTAGTAAAACGTTCGCGTAATATTTCTCACCTTAACGTCAATCCATTAAACTGTAGGTTTTCAACATCAGTCTGATCATGTTAATCTGATCTCATTTTCCCTTACCTGATTCACTGAGGATAAATTCAATTTTGTGATTTGTCAAAATTGATTCACTCAAATTAATATTCCCTCAATCATTCAATAGATAACCAACGTCCAACCACCATAGGAAACACAGTGGACCATGTTTAAAAAACTGGGTTTTTCACTTGCATAAACATCTCTTAAACATTCACAAATAAGGCTGCTGGTTCAGCTAGCTTCAAAAATCTGAATATATCAAAAAATTTTCGGCGACATCAGGAGAAGAGAATAACATAATCGCGTCTTCGAAAATGGGGTATTTGTCAAGCAATTTATAGAAAACAGACTGACAGCCATTGGGAAGATAACCATTAAGTTGCTCAGTGGTCGTGTATTCGGCGATCCCACCAACAAACAGGTTCGAAATTCAAATACTGGTTTGTAGGGGTTTGATAGATTGGTTAAAGGGTTCTAGCGGGAAGTCGTGATCAGTAGAGTACAGCAGGTAGGGCGGGAGGAAAGATACTCCCCAGCAATGACATTCGCTAGTGGTAGTGCTATGTCGTAAAGTGGCAGAAGTTGGAATTGATGGACTAGCCGTTGGATCGGGTCCCATTGGCTTAATGGTCTGCGAGCTCGCTTTGTAACCAGAGGGTCCTGGGTTCTAACCTACTATGATGGGTGCGTGCTGATGAAGAGTCCCGAACTAGATGTGAAACAGTTTTCCAGTACACCCTCCTGGTTTTCCAGTGGTTCTGTAACCGATGTCAGCTCATGATAAAATCCTGTGAACAGATTCAAAGTTGATCGGTCACCACCCATCTGATTTGTCTATAGGTATCACCTCTAGTGGCTCTTTTGGAACCTCAGCTTTAGAGATTTTAGCCGTTTCTTCAAACTGTTCAGGTTCACCACCGTATCTAGCATGGGAGCAGGCAGCGTCTTATCCGTCTTATCCGAAGGAAACTCTCTTAAACTAAGTAACCAGGGAAGTTCATTATTGTCACAGCTTCTGATGCAGTGTTGCTGAGCTTGTCATGCTGAGCTATGGTCTATGTTGTCAACATTTCTGGCAAGGTAGCGGGGACATTCTGAATCACTTTTTCACTCTTGTGTTGGTGAGCTGGTTTTAGAAGAGTAGGCTTTGAATCGGCACCTTTGGTTTCCATAGCAATATGAGTTGTCATGAAATTGATACTCTCAACTTCTTTGTTGCAAGCATTATCGATGAATTTCGCTTAGTGAGAAATCACCACATGTTGTCCTTTCAAAGTCAAATTCAAGGAAATCTGTTTATTATAGCAGTCAGCTGCTGTTTAGAGCACAACAGTAATAGCCGGCTGTTCATCCTGGACAAATCTCGAATTGTGTGAAAGTAAAACCACACCAGCGTGTAATACTTCGAATTCCAGGTCTTTTGTGTCGGCCGGTAAACCCATAATTAGAGCTGTTTTATGTTGTGATCCAACCAGTAGTGAAAGTGCCAGTTTACCGCCATCAAAGAAAATTAGGCTT